TGCTGGACAGCATTCCTGAGCAGTGTGGCAGTTCAGGAATGGCATTTGGCTGGTGCCAATGGGTTTCTAATATTCTGTGCAAAGTTCTTGCTGCTACAGACAGGTAAATTAACTCTGGGTAGATATCCATAGCATCACCATCATCACACTGCATTTGGCTGTATCAACTTAGACTTGAAGAGAGCCTTTTGTTTTTAGCATTGGTTATGCACACACATTTATCAAGCTACTGTAGTCCTTTTGCTCTTGTATTGTCTTCAGACATTCATAGAGTTTCTGTTCTTAATGCAGTATATCTTTTCCCCTATAGTCATTATAACTGTCTTTTTCAGGGGAAAGGTAAGAGTCCTCGTGGGTTTGGGTTTTGGTTTTTTTAAATTAAAGATTCATATTAAAGAATGGAAGATTTTAGGGTAAGACTTTGGGCAATTTTAAATGCCATTATTTATAACTCAATTAAATTCTAGTAAGGCCAGTCAACAGCAATAAGGACTGCTCAACTTGTGCTACGGGCTAATTACTATAAAATATGTACATATAATCCTCAGCTGTTTTATGAATGTATGGACTTCCTTGTCGAGGAAGAATTGTGCGGGGTTATAACACCAGAAGTAAATGTCATTAGATATGTACAGTTGGTCCCAATATTGGACAAGCTATAGACAGAGCTCTAACTCAGAGGCAAAACAGACCTTCAGGCCAGCTGTTGTTGTATCAGCAGTGTAAATGAGTGAACTTCATTTAGTAGGTAATGCAAGCAGCAATAAACTGGGCAGATGATCAGGCACTGGTAAAGGCCACTTCATCTTAGTACTGTGTCCTAGCTGGGGACAACAGAAAATAGCTTCATTCCTGGTGGAGACACATTTTGAATTCTAGTTCTGCTTAAACTTAGCTGAGCTGTGATCCAGGAGGCCCTACCTACTGTGGAAAGAGGGTACTATCAGTCTAGTGATCTGGCAGCATTTTACTGCTTTGGGAAGTCCCACTTTTCAAGACAACATATTTTTAAGGAGCCCTAAGTTAGAATGCCTGGTGACTTACCTACATTAATTTCTGCATTGTTCTAAAAATAACATTTTTTGTGTGATGATTTTGATATCTGGATTGCCTTGACCATATGCAGTATTTAATGCTGCTTTGTGAAATGGCCAAGGTGACTTTAAAAGAACAGTACCTTTTGAAAATGCTTTGGATACCACTTGGGTGATGACTGAGCTTCGTCAGGGGCTGCCTGATGAAGAAATCTTCTGCAGTGCCTTGTTGAAGAGCAGTATAATGAAGTGAGGAATTAGGATTTAATGCAAGGGAAATGTGCAATGTGGGTGGGTCATGCAGATGGATTTTGATAGGGAGATGAAAAAGGTTTCTATAGTCTCAAAGACTAAAATTGCAGTCGTGTTACTTGCCTGTTAGCAGGCTGGAGAGATGTTAAATCTGATCTAAATCAGTGCTCATTTTTTTTTCCCAGATGAAAATGACTACTTATGAAAGGTTAGAGGATTTATGGGGGTGTCAAAACATATGGCAGATGGGCTGGATTAGGACTCATGAGTATAGTAATCCAAATCCTTTCTGCCAAGCATTACAGAGGATCTCTTCCTGCTGTTGAGCTGCACTAAATGTACACAGTCAGAGGAGCACAGGCTGTCAGGAGGATTAGAGGAAGAGTTGCTAGTGAAAGTGCTTGGCTGAGCAGAGTTCTTTTTGAAAACACTTTCTTTGTAGTCAAGAGTCTACTGGGGAACTGGCTATATTATTTAATTTTAATAATTTGCTGGAATGACTTTTTCTTCCTTTGGTTTACTATACAAAGCCTGGAAGAAAGTAAAGCCAAAATGTGTGCTAAACCTTTCTAGTTATCTCTGACTATATTAGCACAGAGGGATAAAAACTGTGCAAAAGCCATGAACGTTAAGAGAGGAAAAAAGGAGAATAAGTTTGTCTTTCTCTCCGAGGCCAGTGTTATCTGTGTGATTTAAGGAAAAAAAAAAGGTATCCTACTTTAAATTGTTGTGACAGAAGCTTAAGTGTTAGGGAGTTATAGTCTTGATTCTAGACTGAGTCTTCTCTGAAATCTGCAAATTCACCATGGCATGCCAGTGTTCCCCAAGTTGTTGCTAACTGTAGTTAACATGTAGTTAATTTTAAAAAGTTGTAAAGCTTTTGAAAAGATCCATGTCTAAAATAGTTTCTGCGGAAGGACAGAAACCATTTGTGTGTGAGGCAACAACAGGATATTTGCACTTCACTCCTGTAGTCGATTAACTACTACTAAAGAATCTACCAGAGTTTCTTCCCTAGTTAACCAGTGCTTTCCAGCATGATAAATTGATATGCTGGTATGGAGAACCACCTACTTGGATATCTCTGAGCTCCATGAGTGAATGCTTAAATATTTCATTTGGCAGTCGTGTAACATGCTTAAAAATAGTAAAAAAAAAAAGTTTTGTTAAAGCATGAAACACTATACTCTGCATGGATAAGTTGTGTTCTTTGTAGAACCAACTAGTGTGAGGATCCAGATCTTACAGATCTTAAATTTAAGCTTAAAAGGAAGGCTGCAAGCAGTTACTCCAGCAGTGATCTGTTAATCAGGTTTTACTTCTTTAATTTTTAAGATATCTTAATCTTTAGAGTTGTATACAGCCTTCCAGCAAAGATTTGCTCTGAACTTATAATTAAAACAAGCTAACAAAACCCACCATCTTTCAGTTCCCATCCTCTTTCTGTCCAAGCAGCCTCCTTTTAAGAGACTTTAGAAGTGTGTGTAAAATTTAGAGCGAAAAATGTCACATTTAGCATTTGAGAGTTGTCTATATGCATGTTTAAGGAAATGAGGTTGGAAATAATTTAGCCAGAGGGGTGGGCAGAAAAATTTTCATAGAGCAAAATGTGACAGGAATGAAAGGACAAGTTGAACCAGGGACATCAGGTTTTACTATGAGGGTGTACATGCAAATCCATGAAATCTGAACAAACTTTTAATTCCAAATAGGCAGTTGGAAGTTTCAGTGATAACCAGTTTCCACAGCTTTTATAACATTAGAAACATTTAAACAGTTTGGGCAGGGGTGGATGAAACCGTATGTGAGATGGCTTGTGAAGTATTATCCAGCTTACAAATACAACAAAGTTGTTATAGGAGGCTTTCCAGGGAGTGTAGTTATCATGGGTTTTGATTGATATATTACCAAAAATATTGTGGATTTTCCAGGATATAGAAATATGCAAAAGCTAATACATCAAACTGCAATTAATATGGCAAATTAATCTGTGGGCCCAGGCTTTGTGTGATGTATAAAAAGTGCCAGCATTTGTTAGATGTTTCTGATACAAGTGTGTATATGTTCTCATTATATATGTGTTTGTTCCCTACTAATATGTCCATTAAATTCTTCCATATTGCGTCAAAACTGAGTGAATTAATCTAACTGCCATATAATATTCTAAGTTTCACAAGGAAAACCTCTACAGAAATGTGAAAAGGAATAAATTTCTTCATGATAAATTTTAAGATCAATTATAAGATAATTATAAGATTATCCTGACTAAACTGTATCTTGTTGCTGAAACATCAGTAAAACTGATGGTAGAAAACTGTTAATAATTGATCTAAATTGGAGCAGCACAATCATCTGTATTTCATGATTTCAAGGGGAGAGTCCCCCCACAAAGGAGAAAAATGAGCTGTTTTGGAGAAATAAGATGAAACATTCCAATGTGAGGTCCTGCTTCTGAATAACTAAGGAACCATTGAATAACAATCCCAGGAATGTGTCATGCAAGATGGAAAAAATGGACCTAATAAAATGAAAAATGATTGACAAATAATTCCTTCTAATAATGGGGAAAGATTATCAAAGCACTTACACTGTATCTGGAACTATTTGGCAAATAGTTTAGTCTTTTTCTTATAAAAGGCATCTGAGAAGTTGAAATATAAAAATACACATATTTTAGCTTTTACAGATTCTTCTGCAGAGAGTAATGCAAACCAGCTTTCATTTAGGATGCACATGTAATTGAGAGCAGAACTTAAGCTCATCTGTCCTAGAAATAGGTGAGAAAATCTAGATTCCTGATTCCCATTTAGGCAGAAGTGGTATGTTTCTGCAAGCATTTAAATAAGTAAGTGCTTTTGGACACACTAGGGGGGATGACCCAAGAAGCAGTTCTTGCTGGAAAATGTTGAGTTATTCCATAAATAAGTGGAAGTTCTTCAAGTTGCTGGCATGATAACTCCAACAGAGTCAGCTGCCTGCTTCACATAATATTATCTATATGGATATGAAGATGTGAAAGGTTTTGGAACACTTATTTAATATGGTGTGCCTGAAGAAAATCACCCAATATTGTTTGGCTGTGAGATGCAAAATGAAGTGGGACTTTAAGTAGTAGGTAGGTCTGAAGGCTTCAAACAATCCACTGTATTTAATAGGTAGGAGCTGGAGGACCTCAACATGGAATCTGTGTCTATTTTCTTCTCTTGCTTTCTCGTGAAGTTTAAGCAGTTCTCTGGTGAAATGCCTTAGAAAATACTTTTGTTAGGGAAAACAGAACTGGAACGTTTTTTAAGCTGTACATCTTGTTAAAGCAAACTGTTGTTTTGGTCACAGCCAGAAACAAAGGAAGGATTTGGGATGTTATATGGAAACCGTTGTAAGATTCCATAAATTCCACTCAAATAAGGAGTTTTCAAAGGGTTGCACAACTAAATCTTAAGTAAGGACTGACAGCCCTAAAATGTCTGAAGGCTTGACTGATACAGGCTTGATACAGCTTAAATGAAAGAGCCAGTTCTTTCAGTCTGTGGTCAACAACATACCCCACCATTTTGTGATCCAAATGTCAGATAATGAGATCTGTTGTGCTTGTTTCCATTACTGAAAAAAAAGTTGTAGCAGGTAATTTCTCTTTTGTGTATAATTTTCAGAACTAAATGGCTGGTGTTGATTTATGCTAAGATTTTTTTTTTTTTTTTTTTTTTTTATTTTCAGAGAAAGAATTTGACCCTTTTCTTCAGCATTGGTTTATTGACCTCCTGGGGGACTGCACTGCTGGGTGTCCGCTTATACTGGATGGGCAACAAGCCCCCGAGTTTTTCCAATTCTGACAATCCAGCAGCTGACTCGGACAGTTTTCTCACGCGTACGCTGACCTTCTTTTATTTGCCAACCAAGAACCTCTGGCTGTTGCTGTGCCCAGATACCCTCAGCTTTGACTGGTCTATGGATGCTGTGCCTCTTCTAAAAGCAGTCAGTGACTGGAGGAATCTACACACTGTGGCCTTCTATGCTGGACTCCTCCTCCTTGCCTACTTTAGCTTGAAGGGCTCCAGCAATGAGAGAGAATGCAATGGAAAAGCTGTAATGAACGGCAAGCAGAATGCTAATGGGCATAGCTGCCACTCAGAGATGGAGTACAAGACACTGGAGGTGAAGGCAAGCTTTGCATCAAAAGAAGAGAATGGCATAAAACCCCATGAAATTCAGAAACTGCAGCTTCCTTCAACTGAGAACATTGTCATTCTGTCTCTCTCTTTGTTAATAGTGCCCTTTGTTCCTGCCACAAACCTATTTTTCTATGTCGGCTTTGTAATAGCAGAGCGTGTGCTGTATGTTCCTAGTATGGGCTTCTGCCTGCTGGTTACAGTAGGTGTCAGGGCCCTTTATGTCAAAGCCCAAAAGCGCTTTCTGAAGAACTTGGTTTTTTGTTCCACTGCTGCGTTAATTGTTTTCTATGGACTCAAGACTGTTGTCAGGAATGGGGACTGGCAGAATGAGGAGATGCTGTATAGGTCAGGAATAAAAGTGAACCCTGCCAAAGGTAATTTTTGCTCTTTATGCTGAATGCTTTACTTATTTCAGTCTGTCTTTGCCTTTGAATTGTCTGATTTTATTAGCTACATCTAAAGAGGATACTTTAAGAAATGTCCCTTTCAAGTTGCAGTGGCATGCGCATTAGTAAAAAATTAGGAAAAACAGGAATGTGTTTTGATTAGGTGTTACAGGTTTGGCATTAACATGGAGAAAACGAGACCCTAAGGTAAGAGGATGCTTTGTTTTTCACTGATATTAGTTAGTACTCTATTTTGGAATTAAAGATGCATTATTAGTATTACAGACCCCATCCTGGTAATTTTCCATTTGGTATCTGGCATCTATCATGCTAATGAGAATTTTTCATATGTTCACTGAATGTTCTGTTTTCTGTGACTAGAAACTATAAGAAACAGTAAAGGACAGCATCAGGGAGGTGCTGTTTCTTTAGTTCATCTGATGCAAATAACGTCAATACTACATAATAAAAATGAGGAAATGAGGTCATATTATTCAGCCTAGGAAATTACTGTAGTTTCCCCTGTATACAAGTACTGTAAAGAGTTATTTTCAAATACTTATGCCCTCCTGTTCAAGTATAAACGTCAGCTATTCGTAACATTGCCCAGCTACATTTCTGAAAGGTTGTATCTCTGGTGTAATGAAATGGACTACGGGTAGTGTAAACACATCCAAACAGGCAGTAAACCCACTGGTTTAGGGATCAGTAACAATGTTTAGCTGTGGCTCTGTGATTTCAGCAGTACATGGCAGATCCAGCTGGGATCTTGAACACCATTCTGCCTGGCTGTACTGCTCTTGGCACACATGCAAGTTTGTATGCGAACGGTCAAAATACCACCTGTAAGTGCAATGCAGACATTGACTAAGCCTTCGTTATTCACAATTCATCAGAAGTGAGAAGGGATCAGTTGACTGCTTTGCCTGTCTGTGAAAGAAAAATTTGACAGCACTTAAACACTGGAGTTTTTTAGTCCTCTGTTCAGAAACCCATTAAATGATGTAAAGTTGTCTGCTGACAAAGTTCTGTTTCTTGGTTAGACAGTTATGTCATAGTCTAAAAGCTGTGATAGTAAGAGGCAAATGCAGGTGTTACTGTGAGTGGATAGGGAGTGAAAAAGTAGATTTGGCAGTTAAGATGCCTTGCAATGCAACATTATAGTAGCTTGTCAATCGTCAGTCTGATTTTGTAACTCTTCTCCATATCCTTTCTCACCCTAGGAAAATTATTAAACCTGTTGCTGCAGTAAGTGGCTTTTGTTAATTGTGAACAAGCACATCCCATTTATTTTACCTTTTTTTTTTCCTTCTAAAATGAGCACAGGAGAGCAAGAAATTAAGTAACTGTACAGCCAGACAGCACACCAGAGTGATTATATGATGCTCCAAGACTTAGCAGTTTAGTGACAAGATAAAGTTTGCACTAAAACGTTGGCATTCCTTGGAAAGAAAACAGTGTGTATGCATTTGATTAGTTAATGTATGTCCATTTTTGCCTTTGGTGGAAATCCTGATAGCCCAGAATGTGTCAGTACTTGCCTGCTTGCATTGAGCCAAATTTTGTGATAGAAATGGTATAATGCCAGTTTTTATCCAATAGTAGGAATGGCTGCAGGATTGTCTGGAAATTAGAGTACTGGGTATTATGTTCCCGGGAGACAAGGCAAGCTATTATCATTATATGCATCTCAGTATGCAGATTCATGCATCTGGTTTCTTGCCATATAAGAAGTGTCTTGTAAGTTATGTAAAAGCGAAGCATCATGTCAGTGCGATGATATAGACGTGACTGAGCTGACTTTAAATCTCCTTCAAATATCCTGTTAAACTTCTGCTGAATATTTACTAGCCCACACACATTGTAACAAGGCTGGGTATCAGAAACTCCCAGCTAAAGCGACCTGTCACCCAACTCTATTCATTATTGTGAATACTTCCTAGATTATCCCTGGCTTTGACTATGCTAATTTTATTTTCTAGTTCTCATACAATCAGGCAAGCCTGACTGGACTAGACTGGCTGCCAATCCTACTGAAGCATTAGGAGATCGACAATTCAAACTACTCTTCAGTAATTAAATGAGGTCGATGTAGGAAAAACAATTTATTTTTGTTTGCCTCTTTTTTTAGTTTTAGGAATGCTGGTGATAAATAGACTATTCAGATAGTCTGACAATGAACTGCTCAGTCAAATGGTAAAGTGGAGAAGTGTTTTTCTTACTTTTAGGCTTCTAAGATGAGGCCATCCCTCCTCATTTCTCTGTAACTATTTTTCCTCAGTAATATTTTCTTACTTCTGAAAATTTCCCTGATGGTTCTTCTTTTCCTGTCTTCTCACGCAAAGGGCCTCCTCTGTCCTAGGCTCAGAGGCAATGAGGAATCCCTTCAAAAACTCTTCATGTGAGAACTGATAAAGAAGTAGAAGTTGGTAAAGACCAGCTTTGCTAAAGTAGAGACAAGTGTTTTGTTCCAGATCCATCTGTATTCTGGCCTAGCAAGATGAAAGCCACTCAGTGGCTGCTGTGTGACAACACTGAGCTGATGTGCCTGTACTAATAAGGCCATTTGAAAGGCAAGTTTTAACTTAGGTGCATTTGTGAACTAATGTGGCTGAACTGCTTTGGAAATGGAGTTGTCTCACATGGTAATGGTTTATAATCAGGTCTTCTGCGTTGCAGTACATGTAAGAATATCATTTCATCTGATGCTGTGGGACTTTGAAGCAAATGTATTCAGTGGCTTCTCCATTTTCAATCCTCAATGAAGAAATGCACGATAAGCACCTTACCAACACTTTCTTCTGGCCCCCTCAGGGGCACCTTGCAAGCAGTGCAGACAGTAGTGTTCTGCCTCAGGTGAGAAAGCCTCTACCCCTGCAGGCAGCCACAGCCTTTCTGCAGTTTGCATTTCTCCAGGCTGTTTTTGTCAATCATTGACAATGTGGAAAAAAACCCCTCAAAACCATGGGGCATAGATTATCTCTCAAAAAACCCCCAAAATACACTGTGGGAGAGTCAAGACCCTCAAAACCATGGGGCATGGATTATCTCTCAAAAAAACCCCAAAATACACTGTGGGAGAGTCAAGCAAGAAGAAGGTGGTGATGCTGTGCCCCAGCTACCGTGTGTGTGCCAGCTTTCCTGGCTGCCTCAGTGTGGCAGGCAGCTGCCATCCCTTGGCTGGTGGAGTCATAATGAAGACTTGAGATGCCTTGACTGCATCTTTACTCATCTTGTTCTACTGTATTGGGTTATGACTAGCATTTCAAATAACTTTAAAGTGATCCAAGCATTGCCTCATTACAGCACTTGAGGGAGAAATATGCAAGACTGATTAATTTAGTTAATGGATCCTGCAGTGGGTGTATGCATGTTTTGACCCTAGGGAGGGAAAGGCACAAGTGTTTCTCTGTGCTGCCTTCAACTTAATGGGCAGCCCAACTAATATAAAACAGTTCTCATTATCTGAGTGTTACTTTATAGTGGAGGAAACCTCCCAAAATGTAAAAACAAACAAAAAAGTTAAAAGTGTGTGGTACCTGTCACATCTTTTTCAATTAGTCTGAGGGTCATTCTCTGGTGATGATTTCTTCTTTTTAATATAACATAGTGACACACAAAATAATTGTTCTCATTATGCTTCATTATCTCTAGTTTTCCATGTAGTACCAAAACTAAGTTTCAAAAAGTGTAATCTTTTCCCTCCGGGCCGTTTGCTACCTTGCAGTCCACACATGAACGTCAAAGGCCATTATGATATGTTTGCTGTACCTCTTACAGATACTGATCAATGAAGTAGAAAATAATAGAAAGAGGCATTGATTGTTAGACTGCTGCAGAGGTATTAGTTGCTTGGTCATATTTACTGATGAAATTTTAGAATCCAGGTGTATGCCATGATGTAAGTAAGCTTTGAAGATCCTTTCTGGAAATAGTTGTCCTGCTGCACCAAGTGGATACTTAACTTTAGCCATGCATTAATACTTAACTTTAGTCATGTATTCAAATCTTGCTAAATTTGTGGATGTGGCTACTGTTTTTGCAATGGAATGTACACCAAGAACAAATACTAGGCTGCTTCCAAAAGTAATATTAGCACATTATTGTTTGTAATAATAATAATAATAAACCCTGACTAAAGCTGGCCTTGCAGCTGCTGGCTTCAGAACCAGTTCTGGATGTTTTTCAGGTGTTTGTCCTTTTCCACCATGTATTAGTGCTAGTGAAACGTTATACATTCACATCTTCGGCAAGTCAGTGGGACCTGTGTATGTGCTTTAGTCCTTTCCTGAATCCCCATGCAGGGGGAAAAAGAATCCTTAATACCCATTACATGAAGACAAAATCAGTGTGAGAGGCTTCTTGGTTCAAATAAGCTCTGCTGATGGAGTCCAGTTGTTTAGATGTTCCGGGTGATTGACACAAAGACTGAAATAAGTAAGTAAAGAGGTTTTTGCAGATCTCACAAAATTATTCACCTGTTTTTAAAAGTTAATATAGTCTACCTCTTATAGTCCTACGTTGGGTTAAACATCCTGTTCTTAGCATCTTGCTTCTTGCATCGATTACCCTTTTGTTCTCAGTGGGCAGAAGTAGGACCAAGACATGGTGTTGACAGAGAAGAATATAGGAGCTGTACCATACAAATATAGAAAGCTGTTGTCCTCCTATCTTCCTACTCTTCTTCCTACTCCCAGTTGTTATGAATGTGAAGCATTCAGTTTTGCTTAATGTTTTCAGAAGATATTCTAATACTGAAATATTCTTCTGGACCACAATGTTCCTTTTCCCTGTCCTACTTTTGGGGTTTTTTCCCTTTTACACCAGGGTCGTGAGGACTTTCTGACTCATTCTGTTTGTGCATCTAGAAGATGTAAAGAATGTCCTTAACTATTTTTTTTTTTTGCATCTTTGGCATTCAGCCTTGATCAGTTGTATTCTCTGACACTTCATGGATAATTATCTTTCCTTTTTTAATGTTTATTTCT